AATTTAAATCTAAAAATCTAAAATGTCTCATTAGTCCATTAAATCAAAACACCAGGACTACATGCGTCACGCTTCAACCTACTGAACTAACACATCTCCACCCTCTCTGCCTCAGTATCATTAGGTTTTCTCCCCTCTTCTCTTGTTGGGGTTGTTGTTTGTTTTTGTCGGGTATTTTTAGCCCCCCCGTCTTCCCACACGGCAGCGAGGCAGCAGCTGAGCCGCCCTTCCACAGCTCCAGATGACACTAACCTCTCTCTAATGATAAAGCCTGCATCTCCACCGATTTAACACGGTTTGTTTTTGAGGGAAGAGGCAAAATCTCGAGAGGCCGACGATGAGCACCGAGTTACATTGTCGTGTTTGCTCTTCACTTTGAAGTGCTACTTTGCCTTCTGGGGGAAAATAAACAACCGAGTTGGACGAGTGAATCAGGATGCATAAGAATGTAAAACCCTCTTCCAGGATTAGACATACTGTGCTCCATCTGCTCCTGTAAATTCATGACTTTTTGAAAAGGACAGGAGATCTGAAGTCCACAGAATCCAGGTTTGAGGAAAGGAACGTTTCTCCAAGCTGTTTGCTCTGTCTTCGGAAAACGTCTTTTGAACGGCTGACGGGGGTTTCAGCTAAAATTGGACAGAATGTTCAGTAACCCATGGATTGAAGTTGTGTTTAACACGGCACGCGGCAAATGCACCGCTCACTTGTAGTGCTCCTCCTACACCACAGTTTCTACCTTCAAGCCCAGTTCTGTAGCTTTTGATCATCCTCAGAAGTACCTGGAGACTCCAGTCTCTTGATTAGACAGGCCTTCACTCTCACACACACACACACACACACACACACACACACACACACACACACACACACTCATCTGGAAGAAAGGGACATGAGCAAATGGACAGCTGAGCTGCAGGGAGGAGAAGAAAGAGGCTTTGCAGCAGCAGACGAGGTGTGGGCAGTGAAATTGGACCAATATGAGATTTCTGAGGGCACACAGTGTGTCTGTCTGTGTGTTTGATTAACAAAATGTCTCTGATTTTATGACCGAAGAGCCTTTCATAAATGTTCTTATTCTGGAAATGAGTTATAGGTGTGTGATTTTCCATGTCAGTTAGTGGAGCTCACACCTCTGCCAATTATTATTATAATTGCACCAAGTTGCACGCACCCATAGATATTAGTCCCCCGACTGTGCCTGATACTTTTAAATCAAAATCCGGATCTTTTAATGGGCCCAGGAGCCCACGCTGCATCCTTCCACCAGGTTTCATGGAAATCAGTTGGTTTTTTTTTTTTTATCAAGAGCTTCAACACAGAAATCATGGTGTTGCCCTTTAAATCTTCTGATGGTGTAATTTCACTGTACAAACCGAACGTTGCAGCTTCACAGACGTGCTTCTTTCCCTCGGCTGCGTGAGCGTGTACAGTAGGAAACGGTGAGGTTACACAGCGGTTACACAATAACTCGCACCGTGTTGAGCTCAGGTGTTAATGGAACTGGCCTCAGATGTTTCCACCTCAGTCCCACAAACACACACATGCTGTTTCCTCCCCTATATTCTCTCCTGTTCGCTCGCTTTACATCCTCGCCGCATGTATCCGCTCTGAGCTCTGCACTGTGTTATATAAAACAGCAGCACTCCTCCATGCATCCTCCCTGACCCCATCTCCCGCCGTCTCTTTCCTTCCCCTCCACCGCTCTAACGCAGGAGCGGTGGATTTTGCCCTTTTCATGCTCACTGCCTCCTTCACTCTGCAGCACAACATGGCCGGAGTGATGCTGCTGCTGCTGCTGCTGCTGCTGCTGCTGCTG